ACAAAATCATCCAAGTTTCATGTTTCTAGCTCATATGGGACTATAGATATAGTCAATTGAAGTTTAGACGCAGACGACGAGATACTCTAACTGTCTGTGTCTCTTCTAAACTTCAAATAGTTGTAACTCGACTCCCCGATGAGCTATAACGAAGAAACTTGCACTGTTTTATGTCATTTTCCCAGATCTTCAAATAGGATAGCAACTAAAAATTTTCCTATTTTTGAAAAACTAAAAATCTGAACTTGAAGGCGATACGAAGAAAATAGAAAAAAATTTTAAGCGAAATAGTGAAAAGTTGAAGCTCCCATAATGTCTGGGAACTGAGATACGTTCATTTTACATTTGCCGGTGAGAGAGTGAGAGAGCGCAGACAACGATACGTTCTAGCTCTCTGTATCTCTCCAAACTACAAACGCCTCTCTCCAAACTACAAACGTCTCTCAGAAGAGCTAGAAACTTGCTTCTTTGAGCGAATTGTCTAGTTTTTTGTCTATTTTTATATGCGCAACTGTTTCCAGACTTCAATCGACTCTTTAAACTATCAAATCATCTATTACTACCTCTTCGAAACCCGTTCTCCTCACTGGTCGCCGCCGATGTGCTCGGCGGAAGTGTCATCGCTGAGAAGACGAACATTTGTGGCGGTGGATATTTTTGAGGGGATTTCTTCTTATCAACAACACTTTCACGCATTCAGAAAACCGGATATTTTCAGATTTTTTAGGGGAGAAAAATAGGATTTTCTGGATATTCTATAGTTTCTGAAATATTGGAAAATAGTAGAAAAGTCAGGTGAAAAACGAACGAGGAGAGAGATTTTTTAAGATTGAAACTGGAAAGGACATGAAATATTAATTATCTCACAAAAGTGGAAAAGTCAGAAATAATCAACTTTAAATTTTTGATTTTGTCTCAAAAGTTCAGATTTTTGTTATAGAAATTTATCAATGAAACTATTGAACTTGTCTCGACGAGAGCTTTAAAATAAGCTTAAACTTGACGAATTTCGTTAAAGATTGAATTTCGACTATCAGCCGCGACGCAACCGCAACGCGCAGGGTAAAAACAAAAAATCGTTCGAAAGTAGCCGTGTTTAGGCTCATTTTGAAGCGCACAACTAGCTGATAACAGATATTCTGATGTTCGAATGTTCCGGACAGAAATAACTAGAATACGACCAAACTGGATGTTATTTAATTTTGAGGGAAAAATAGTAGAGGCTACAAAAGTAGTTCAGAATGTTCCGATTTGCCAGAAAATTTCAGAGTATACTAAACATAATTAGAGCTTGAATTTTGTATTTGTCAACTGTTTTGTGTAAACCTTTCTAAATGAGATATGCGCTTTTTAAAATGTCAAAGATGTAATTTTCGACACAAACCGACAAATAACTCTAGATTCCTTTTGTAGCCCTTCAAAGTTGACTATTTTTCACTCTTTTGAAACAAGAGGACAAGAGGGGTTTCGAATTTTCAGATTTGTCTGAAAATTTCAAGTTATACAAAACAAAACAAGAGCTTCATTTTTGTAGTTGACAACTTTTTTGTACAAGTTTTCCTAAATGAGATATGCG